CTATCTATCTATCTATCTATCTATCTATCATCTCTCTCTCTCTCTCTCTCTATCTCTATCTCTCTATCTATCTATCTATCTGAGGAAACTCAAATCCTTTGGCCACCTAATGAGAAGGAAGAAGGACTCCCTGGAGAAGAGCCTCATGCTGGGAAGGATGGAGGGCAAAAGAAGAAGGGGACAACAGAGGAGGAGGTGGCTGGATGGAGTCACCCAAGCAGTCGGCGTGAGCTTAAATGGACTCCAGAGGATGGTAGAGGACAGGAAGGCCTGGAGGAACGTGGTCCAAGGGGTTGTGATGGGTTGGACACAACTTCGCAACTAACAACAACAAATAATCCCAGGTGGAATTTCCTTTTGTTCCAACAGCCAACATCTCAGCCAGAGATGTTAATTAAGGCACTCCAGTGCCTTAATTTTGGGGCGCCAGGCAAACAGAACAAAAAGGGGCCGAAGTGCAGCACGGAGACGGAGCCTAAAATCACCCCACCCCATCAGCTTCCCCACCACCCTCCTCCCCAAATTCATAAAACGACATTAAAGCGTTGCAAGAAAGCTCCGTCCAGTGGCCAAACTTTTAATTACAGACTTAACAGAAATTTCCACCGTAAAGGTTTACATAAAATGGGCACCCTCTGGCAAGTTCACCCCCTGCTGAACTCTCTCGCCATTCCCCTTGCCCAAACCCATCAAACGTTTTCTTCCCCCTTTAAACCCCCACACTGACAGGGACAAACCCCCCCTCCCACGCATGGCATGAATTAAGCCAACACTGCCCTCTGGTGGGACCTTGTAGGTCATCTAGTCCAAACCCCCACCCAAGCAGGAGACACTACACCATTTCTGACAGATGGCAATCCAGTCTCTTCTTGAAAGCTCCCACAACTTCCAAAGGCAACTTCTGTTCCATTGGTTTCACTGTCAGAAAATTCCTCCTTATTTCTCTTATTAAATTCCTCTTATTGGTCAGTTTCCATCCATTATTCCTTGTCTGGACTTCGGGTGCTTTGGAAAATAGCTTGACCCCCCCCCCCTTCCTCTCTGGGGCAGCCCCTCAAATATTGGAAGACTGCTATCCTGTCTCCCCTGGTCCTTCTCTTCACTAACTATTGAGGTCGAGTGGGATTTCTGAAACGGAGGGGGGAGTATTTTGCCCCCAAGACAGCTTTGCTTAACCACACGGTGGGCTTTCGATTAGTCAGCACACCTCCTCCTAGCTTCGCATGTGGAAGATTCCCAGAACAGGAATGAATTCATTCAGCAGTCAGGTGCAATAAGTTGCATTTAATGCAACTTCGTCCCTCAGTCTTTGTGGAGGCTGGCAAGTATGGAACCAGGCCTCTGGTTTAGCACTGCAAGCAGCCAATAATTCTATTCCCCCCCCCACCCCACCCTTTTTAATAAATAACAAACACATCCTGCGCAAGTCACAACACAAACCTCCCGTTGAGAATTAAGACCTGTTAGCCCTGTTTATTTTCTGACTGGTCCGCTTGTTCCCCTCTCTTGCTTCCTGCTCGGCGTAAAAGCAGGAATTAAAACGAGCTACGTTCCGTAGCATTGACCCTTCCCTCCCTCTCCCCAGTTTTGCAAAAATGATGGGATGGGGGAACTTTGGGGGAAAAGCATGCCAAAAAAAAAATAAAAATAAAGTTGCCCAAACAAGGCTGACCAGAACACCAGACATCCCTGCCTCTTAAAAGACCCTCCCACGTTATATCCTTCCTCACTGCATCGGAGAGCGGCGAATGTCGTAGATCCCCGAGGAAGGAGTCCCAAGGGCCATCGTCCACAGCGCCGCTTCCCATGCTCTGCCCTAGGGGAATCCTCACACCAAGTGGGTCCCCCGCTCCCCTTGCTTTGTTCAGTCCCTGGCAGCTCGGAATAGTATCCCAGAGCAGCTCACGCGTTGCCCGCATCGGGAGCGATTTCACCGTTCCGCAACCGGGAGTCCTCAGATGCGGATAGTGTTAATCCGGAGCGGCTGCACGTTCTTCCCGTTGGCGTGGCTTTGCCCGGGGCTGAAGTAGGAGCAGAGTTTCCCGGGGAACTTCTCCCGGAAAGTGTAAAGCCAGGACATGTCGTCGGCGTTGTAGAAAATGAGCAGCCCCTTGGCGTAATCCAGGAAGACCCCAACTTTCTCCAGCTTGCTCTTGACGTTCAGCCGCGTCCAGGGCTCGGTGCAGGCGCTGTACTGGTTGCCGTCGTGCATGACGATGCAGTAGAATCCGCGGCTGGGCTGGATCTGGATGTTCCCCTTGCGGGTGACGGCCTCGTGGGCCAGCCCGATCATCCACTGGGTCTTCTCCGAGACCACCACCTCCCAGTAGTGGATGCCGCCGTTGAAGGCCTCTGAGCCCAGCACCGAGACCTCCACGTCGAAGCGCTTGGGCGAGTCCTGCAGCGGCTGCGGGTGCAGGTTGCCGTAGGAGACGAGGGTGCAGTCGTCGGAGAGGATCAGGCGCTGGTGAGCGGTGGCCGGGTCCAGGGTCAGCGTAGCAGGCACTGGGGAAGGAAGTGGGGAGAGAAAAGACGGAGTGAAGTCACCTGATTGGGGAAGAACCAAGGCCGTCTCTAGGGACTATGGTAACTCTGTTCTGGAAGGGGGTCAAAACAAAAAAGGCCATTATCCAAATGGGATAATTATGATTGAAGCTCTTTGGGAGGGGCGTGTTCTGACTGAAGCTTCCCAAGAGCATGAAGCCAACTCCTGGTCCCGACAAAAACCCCTTTTTTTGATTGACTGTGGGAGGATTTACAGTCACAGACCTTATCTGGCTTGGAGAGCTGCCTGGCTGGTATCTGCAAAACATGGCAAAGAGTCTTGGAGAGGTACGAACCAAAGAAGCGAACTAATGGTCTCCTGCAAACTCCACTCCCCTTTCGCTCCTATTTTGTTCCCTCTGGGAGGGGCCATTCATCGTCCACCCGTGGCCTTACTCTCAAGTCGACCCGTTATTTAGCTGTTCCATTCTCCTGGCAACTGCGCAGGCACACACTGGGAACAGGCTCCAGCTGTCCCTCTGCCTCACTGATGTCTGACTCTGAAGGCAGCTGATAACTGGCA